AAATCTATCCTTTAGATGTTCTCTAAATTCAGGAGGGATATATTCAAGGTCATATTTTGGCTCTCGTGGACTTGTTTTAATTGTTTTCAACTTCAAGTTGAACTTGCATATGAGCAGTTGATGGTCTGTTCCACAATCAGCTCCTGGCCTTGTTTTGGTTGAAGATATTAAGCTTTTCCATCACCTCTTACCACAAGTGTAGTCAATATGATTCCTGTGTATTCCATCTGGTGAAGTCTACATGAATAGCCACCATTTGTGCTGTTGAAAAAAAGGTATTTACAATGAATAAGTTGTTGGTCTTGCAAAATTGTATCATGTGATCTCCAGCATTATGTCTGTCACCAAGGCCAAATTTTCCCACTACCAGTGATTCTTCTTTATTTCCAACTCTTGCATTCCAGTCACCAGTGATAATTAACACATCTTGATTGCACATTCAGTCAATTACAGATTGCTTAAGTTGATAAAAAATCTTCAATTTCCTTATCTTTGGCCTTGGTGGTTGGTGCATAAATGTGAGTAATAGTCATATTAATGGGTCTTCCTTGTAGAAGTATCCACATTATCCTATTACTGACAGCACTGTACTTCAGGACAGATCTTGATACATCCTTTGTGATGATGAATGCCACACCACTCCTCCTCAAATTATCATTCCTGACATAGTAGATCATATGGGTGTCTGATTCAAAATGCCCCAAACCAGTCCACTTCAGCTCACTAATGCCTAGGATATCAATCTTTATGTGTTCCATTTCATTTTTGACAACTTCCAATTTTCCTAGAGTCACACTTCATACATTCCATGTTGTGATTATTAATGGATGTTTGCAGCTGTTTCTCAAATTTGAGTCATGTCACGTTAGCAAATGGAAGCTTTACTTTATCCATATCAGTAAGGTTGGTTCTACTCTGATGATACAGCACTTTCCCTGTCCTATTTCAAGACTATTTCCAACCTAAGTGGCTCATCGTCCTGCACTGTATCAGACAAGTGTTTCTGGGCTGTTCATATAGTTGCCTAGTAATGTAACAGACAGTGTTTCTCTGCTATTCTGGCCAATTCTTTGAGAAGTGGATGGTCTCTTCCTTCTTCCTAGTCTTTCTCAGTCTGCAAGCTGCACCAAAACCTGTGCACCATGTGCAACCATGCTGCCATTTGAAACACTGGTGGCATAGCCTTAAGCCTCACAGCAACATGCCACCAGAGCATGACAAACCAACAGACAAGTTTGTCTCCCTTAGCTGTTCAAAACCTCTCCACCCTCCCCTTACCAGGATCCCTGCCACTTGCTCTCTCTGTCCTGGACATCCTGGCTTTCCTTTCCTTTTCCCTTCACTTTTCCTGCCACTTGGGGGTTGGGGCCTGGGTCCCTCCCCTTACCTGGATTTCTCTGCTGCTTACTCACTCTGTTCTGGATGCTCTAGCTTTCCTTTCCTTTCCCCTCTGCTTTTCCTGCCACTTGGAGGTTAGGGCCTGGGTCCCTTCCCTTACCTGGATCCTTCTGCCACTTGCTTACTCTGTCCTGGATGCCCTTTCCTTTCCACTCCTTTCCCCTCTGCTTTTCCTGCCACGTGGGTGTTGGGCCTGGGTCCCTCCCCTTACCTGGATGCCTCTGCCACTTGCTCTCTGTCTCCTGGATGCCCTGGCTTTCCCTTCCTTTCCCCTCTTCCTGCTTTTCCTGAGCAGCCCAGAAAGTGGCCAAGTAGGGTGGGAGTACAAGGGCCTAGCCATGTCTGCCTGGTAAGTGATCCCTAGTGCTCTGGACCACCCCAGTGGGTTGGTGGAGGCTTAGTCAGCCCTGCATTGTAGTCTGGGGTCTCCTTGCCCTTTTCTCTCATGGAGGTTATATATGCTTTGCAGTCTGAGGCTCTGTCTCCCTCCCCAACTCTCCTTCCCCTACCTTTACCTTTCACAGGTGTTACACCCCAGTAAACCTCTTGCACTACTAACTCCACCTCAGTAACTGCATCCCAAAGAACCCAAAGGGACATAACTGAGGTGCAGATCACTCCCATTTTCTGTCCTCTGAAGCACCAAAAATAATGATGAAATATCACAGAGTTATAAACTTTATATTTAAATGTTTACATATAATAAATTAATGCTTTTCACACTACAAAAAAAAATACAATGGTTATGTATATAATTTGATTTTAGAGATGCCAAAAATGAAATTTGTGGTCCTTTTGTGGCATGAGACTCCAGCCAAGTAGCCCTCTTCCCCACCCCCGACACAGGAACAAATCCTGCCAGACATCACAATTCTGGAAGCTCTCCAAGATAATGCCGGGCTGTTTGGTTATCTCTTGTATGTTCCTATAACATCCTACTTTCTTTCACTAGATTTTTTTACTGGGTGACACAAACAGTTTGTGCTCATTTACCAACCTAAAGGTTGATGGTTCAAACCCACCCAGAGGCATGGCAGAAGACAGACCAAGAAATCAACTTCCATAAAGATTAAAGCCAAGAAAACCCTATGGAGTAGTTCTTTTCTGTTAACACATGGAGTCACCATGAGTAGGAATCAACTCAATAGTAGCAGGCTTGGTTTTTTGCAATCATTAGCTATAAACTTTCTGCCCTACCCACCTCTGCCTGCACCCCTAACTCAGTAGTAAAATTATAGAGGACCTGGCACAGAGTCACACTCACACTCACTCACTGCCATGAGTCGCATTCAACTCATAACAACCCCTCCTTGGGTTTCTGAGGCGGTATCACTACAGAAGTGCCCAATCTTCCTTCTAAGGAATGGCTGGTGGGTTTGAACCACCAGCCTTCTGGTTAGCAGTCAAATGCCTTAGGCATCACACCACCAGAGCTCCTTGGCACAGAGTAGGCACTCAGTAAATGACTTTGGACAAATCAATGAATGATTGACAGAGGCATCTGTTAAAAAGATCCCATATAAGACCCATCTCCATAGAATTCCTGCAAGTTTACCAAATGCCCAGAAATAGAGACTGCACAGCTCCTTTCAGCCTGGTATGAATATGGGGGTAGAGGAAAGAAATTGCTTGGAGGTCCTGTTATAGTCCTTTCTCAAGCCTTGGAACCTGGGGGCACCCAGCCAGGGATCCCTGGGCCTCTGGGACAGGATTCTCATTTGTGGCTAGGGAAGAAATCATATCTGTCCCCTGTTCTGTTTCTCTCCAAAGGGAGAAAATGTCTTTGTTGCTGGTGAAGGCAAGAGGTTCTCAGCCTTTTCTATTGGATGGAACTTGAGCTGGCCACAACAGGGTAACAAGGCAGGTCCTCCTGGCCAGCCAGGCTCTGGGCTGGATCACCAGCCAGGGACCCTCGGTCGGCTGGAGCTCCAAGGACTGGTGTCAAACTTCTTTGGAAGCTGTGAGCGAGCCAAAGGTTTTGGCTTCTCCTGGTCCAGGTCCTGGGGGAGATCCTCCAAAGAAGAAATATCCAAGTCACTTTCATCTTCAGAAAGCTGCAAGAGGGGAGGGAGAGAAGAGAATGCATGGGGACCAAGGAAGAGGCTGCAGGTACAGGACGGAAATAGGGACAAAAAGCAGATTTGGAAGAAAGCAGTAGGGAGATGCTGTTACTCCTGCTTTCTTTATCCTCCCTGCCTTTGAGAGGCTGCTTCTGGGACCTGGAGTCAGTGATTTCAAATGCTGTAAAGTGTCCCCTGCAATCTCACTCAACAAACCCAGGCAAGGTCCTTGGAAGGACCTATATGCAGATTAGGTTGCTCATGCTTTAATTTTTCCTTTGTGCACATTTTGTAATCCCCTACACATTGATGGAGCTGGAAGACCAGAGCCTTGACCAGTCCAAGTTCTTGAGCTGAATGCACTAGGGGCTGAAGTACCTACCTCCTCTCATAGTTGGCCCAGAGGACTCATGACCACCCTGTTTTGATATAAGTTATCCTACACATCCTGGAATATAAGGCCAACCAATCATAAACCACCCAGGGGCTTGGGCACCAAGCATGTTCTGAGTAGGGCCTTAGCCCATCTTGGGCTGTTGGCTTTATTTCACAATGTGGGAAAAGGGAAAAGTCATTTTTTTAATCATCTGGACTCATGACTCAGAAACATACATGAGTTGTGTGATAAACTAAATACATTATGCAGGAAACTGGGAGGAAATGCTATTGAAAACCAAACAATGATTGCCCATGACTTCTTCATTTCAGGGTTATAGCACACTTCATCCTACACTGTACGTTTTTGGTTGACAAAGGCAAAAAATGAAGAGTGTGATGTAAAGAGACCTCCAAGTTTTCCAGTCTAAGAAAATAACAGGAATGCTCCCTAGCAAGGGGAAGGGAGGGCAGGCAGTAAGGAGGGTTTGTCAACAGTAGAGGAGGCTCTCTAAGAGAGCGCTGGTGGCATAGTGCCTAAGGCATTTGACTGCTACCCAGAGGGCTGGCGGTTCAAACCCACCAGCAGCTCCCCAGAAGAAAGGTTGGTCAATCTACTTCTGTAGAGATACTGCCTCAGAAACTCAAGGAGGGGTCGCTATGTGTCGGATCCAACTCAACAGCAGTGAGTTTGGGTTTTTTTTGTTTTGTTTTGTTTTGTTTTTTCTGTATACTCTAATATGCCATGTGATACCACTCCAATCTCCACTCTTAAGAAAAATCTGCCCTACACCCAGCCCACGTTGAGGTCTTTGGCATACTTAAGGAAAGGGAAGAAGTCCACATGGAGTGAAATTGATTTGGAAGAGGGAAGCCAATGCAGGAAGCCAGACACAAAACCAAATTCTGAGATTCTCCTGCTGGCAGGAAATGGGAGTGTGTGCTGGCCAGGAGAAATTAAACCTACTGAGCAGCTGCTTATATAATGAACCGAAAGGCCTTCTAATGTTCACATGCCACAAACCGCATGTACAAATAGTATTTCAAGGTGGCTATCCATCTATCTGGGCAGAGGCAAAAGGAGGCAACAAGGCCACCTGTAATGTCCCACTAGAGATTTGCCATATCTTGGATCCTCACTCCAGGTCTCCAAAACTGTGACTGCAGGCTCTATAGGGATTTTCATCCAAGCACCCTACACCTTACCTGAGGCTTCTGTCCTGGTGTGGCAGCTTTCTGTGGCCTGGTATTGGGCAATGAGAACAGACTGACCCCTCCAGCTGGCTTCGTCACTGGAGCCTCGAGCTGCTTCTCCAGGTTTTTGACCATCAACTGCACCAGTGTTCCTGGAAGAGCAACAGGTGGCTATGTCAGTGTGAAAACCTGGAGAATGACCACTTCATCCAGGTGGATCAGGTCCAGGCTCTGGTGCCTATATAGGGATTGTAGAGAAGGGTCAGGAGGAAGAAGGCAGAGTAACTACAAAGAAGAGGGGCAAGGAGAAACAGAAGGCCCAGCCCAATGTGAGCCTGGTGAAAAGAGACTCCTAATAATCTAAAAATATAACTGTGTAGACTTAATGGCCTGGCTGGTGATGGAGGTTTAGGAAGTTGTTCTTCTCTCTTAACAGGAGGCTGAGGCAGGACCTCAGCTTAGTTTGGCACATGAATGGCATGGCTAACATGCAGACATAGCTCCTTTGATGTCTTCACACAGTAACAAGAAGAAACATCGTAGATATAAATCAGCACATGCAGGCTGCAGGCAAGGCAGGCTTTCTGCAGAATTCTGTACAGCAAAGGGGTTAACACTAGTGAAACCCCGAGACTATGGCCCCTAGTCAACCTTCAGGCCTGGAATTGAACTCACTCCCGTGGCTTAACTTTCAGCCAAACAATAGACAAGTCTACAAGGTGAACAATTACACCAAAGGATGTGCATTCCTTAGAATAATCAACCATGGAAGACCAGAAAAGCAGCATTTCCATGGGGAAAAAGTTCAGAAGGCAGGAAAGTATAGGAAAGAAGGACACAGGGGAAAAGTAACCACAGGGAGGAAGTGGGAGGAGAGCTGTTACATTGTGGGGATTGCAATCAATGTCACAAAACAAAATGTGTATGAACGGTTGAATGGAAAACGAGTATGCCTGTAAACTTTTGCCCAAATCAAAAACAAAAGTTAAAAAAGAAAAGAAGAAGAAGAAGAAAAGGCACTAAATAGTGACATGGATTATTAATGGGCCCCTACCGATATGGCAGACCAAGATGATGTCCCCAACCCAGGAATGATCAAGAAGCGGAAGCTAACAACAACGTTGTAGAATTCAAATGTCTGAGGACCCGAGCAGACTTTTTAGAGCTGCAACAACCCACAGTTCAGGTATTCATTTAAGAAACGTTTGCGAAGGGCTTGCTATGTACCAGATTCATTAGAAAAAGATATCATGCTTAGTAAAGGAATTGTTGTTGTTATATGCCGTCAAGTTGACCCCGACTCATAGTGACCCCTCCTTGGGTTGCCAAGGCAGTATCACTACAGAAGTAGATTGCCCAACCTTCCTTCCAAGGAGTGGTTGGTGGGTTTGAACTGCCAGCCTTCTGGTTAGCAGTCAAATGCCTTAGGCACTATGCTACCAGAGCACCTTAGTAGAGAGTCATCAAAAATGAAAGGAATTCTCCATGAGATGGATTGAAACAACAGCTGCAACAACAGACTCACCACCAACTGTGAGGATGACACAAGACCAAGCAATGCTTTGTTCTGTTTTACACACACACACACACGCACATATACACACACATACATACGTAAGGTTGCTGTGAACTGGACCCTACTTGATGGCAACTAACAACAACAAATATACTAGTTACTGTGTTCCTCACTTCTTCATTAATCATGTTGTCCAAATACCTCATTTTTTATCAAAGGAACTGAGGCATATTGCACAAGGACAATCAAGGGACTGATTCAACAAGTATCTGAGGACTTCTTACTCCAGTTCATTTTTCTTCTCATCCTATCACCCTCCTGGCAGACCACTGTAACTTCACCTAAGATCTGCTTCTGGTTGTTTCTGATGGATTGGAAGGCTGAGATTATACTCTGGAGATGACAAACTACCACAAACTCAAGAAGAGCATGGATTTTGAAGATTACACCAACCTAGCCTTCAATCCCAGTGCTTCCATTTATTAAATTTGGAAACATAAAACTGTAATTTCCGTGTTCTTGAGTTAATCCTTGGCTAGAAAATGAAGCCATAAGCTACAGTCCAAGAAAACCTTGAAAGAATGGGAGGTGGCATGGTTGTTTTAGAAGAAAATTGTTCATTGTAGCCTGTCAGGTAGAAAATTACAAGTTTAATGAGTATTTTCATTCCAGCTGTCATATATTTAACTTAAATCTCCATGATATCTTTTTCATCTATGGATCGAATATCTGCTATGGTTTGAATTGTGTTTCCCAAAAGGATATGCTGAAGTCCTAACCCCTGGACCTCAGAATGTGACCTTATTTGGAAACAGGGTTATCACAGTTGTAATTAGTTATGCTGAAGCCATTAGGGTGGGTCCAAATCTCTTTAGAATTGGTACCCTTATAAGATGAGAAAACACACAAGGAAGGATGCCCTGTGATGGCAGAGGCAGGGATTGAAGTTAGGTGGCCACAAATCAAGGAATGCCTAAAGCCACCAGAAGCTGGGAGAGGCACAGGATCTTCCCCTAGAGACTCTGGAGAGAGTGTGGCCCTTCTGACACTCTGAATTCAGACTTCTGGCCTCCAGGACAGTGAGAGAATAAATGTCCATTGTTTTCAGCCACTCAGTTCGTGGTACTTTGTTACAGCAGCTTTCAAAACTAATAGTCACTTTTCTTAAAAGGGCAAAGAAATTTCCTGAAATATTAAAAGGACTGCTAGGGCACAAAGGTGGGGGCTTGAGGCAGTCTGTGACATTCCGTGACTATCACCCTCCACATCTCAAGGCTAACCGGGAAATCCACTCCTCACTATTCTTTGTTACCAAAAGTTATGTTTGTTACACTATGTACATGACAGGTAACTTGATTGGTCAAAATGTTGTAGCAAACTGTGTTCCCTTAAAGTTGTAATTTACACTGACCCTGGATGCTGCTTTTCCTACAGTGAGCATTAACTCTGCTGAGCACTACCTCTCTATCTAGTGCTCAGGAACTCAGGCAGCATAAAAGACCGTGCCCATACTCTTAAAATTAGGAATGTGGCTAATGGCAGCCTTTCCTGGACAAACATTTGTTTTACAAGTAAAAGTGAAAATGATTCCAACTCACTAACTTCAAAAACATAATGCCAAATAAGTTAGAGAGCCATGACACTGGTTCTGTGGTCTTAAACAAGTAACTAAGCATCCAGGAGCCGTGGTTTTTCCATATGTAAGGATGTAAGCAATATAGCCTTACCTCATAGGTGGGGTGAGGAGTAAATGGAGGAAATAAGCAAAGAGATTTGCTGGGCACCATGCTTGGTGAGCACCCAGCAATAAAAACACAGAAAACCAAAAAATCAAACTAGTTGCCACTGAGTTGCCTCCAACTCAAGGCAACACTATGTGGGTCAAAGAAGTGTTCCACGGGGTTTTCAGTGGTTGATTTCTTAGAAGCAGATCACCAGGCCTTTCTTTTGAGATGCCTTGCAGTGAACTTAAATCACCAACCTTTTGGTTAGCAGCTTACTGCATTAATCATTTGCAAAACCTACAGACATCATAGAAGGAAACTCTTTTCTCTCTTGCCTCCAGATTCCATAGAAGAGGGAATGTCTGGTCTACCCCCCAAGATGGATGCGCATAGGAGAGATACCCTCTCAGTTTCTCTCCTCACCTTCTTACTCTCTCCTTCCCAGGAAAAGTAGCCTGCCAGAAGGTAAAACCACAACATCCCCTGGGCCATGGCTCACCTGGGAATAGGTTACTGGATTAAAAATGTAATGTCAACTTTCTCTTTCTTTCTAGCCTTCTTCCTGCACCTGTGACTGGATTTGGTATCTGGCTGAGATCCTCCACACAGCTGCCAAATTAAACCCATTCATGGTCTGCTTTGCCGGCTCATCTCCAAGCACAAGAATAGTCATGGTCTAGGTTTAAGAAGGTTGCAGCTTCAGGTGCTGGCTATTCTCCAATCTACACTTAACCAAAGCCTATGCCTTACGCATCACTGTCTGTTCACCATCACTAGAGCAAGGATCTGATCACAGGTCTGGCCTAATGTTTATTCTCTACTGCTAAGAACCTAAAGAGAAAAGGGTAAGTGGGCTCCCTACAACCTGCCACAATTAAACAACTCAATGTCAAAAAGGAAGAAAATAAACCTCACCCAAATTCTTTCTCCTGATGTCTCTGCTATCCTAGGAAAGTATCTGATGGCCCATTTGGGGGTGTAGGGGGGGAGCTATTACCATCAATTTCAATTTTGACTCACAGCAACCCTACAGGACAGAGTAGAACTGCCCCACAGGGTTTCCAAGGATGTAATGTTTATGTGAGCAGACTGCCACATCTTTCTCCCACAGAGTGGCTATTGGGTTCAAACCACCAATCTTAGGTTAGCAGCCAAGAATTTAACCACTGTACCACCAAAAAAAAAAAAAAAAACCTCACTGCCGTCAAGTCAATTCGACTCATAACAACCCCTCCTTGGGTTTCCAAAGTGGTAGTGGTATCTCTACAGAAGTAGATGGCCCAATCTTCCTTCCAAGGAGTGGCTGGTAGGTTTGAACCGCCAGCCTTCTGGTTAGCTGTCAAATGCCTTAGGCACTACGCCACCAGGGGGCTCCTTATATCTGATGGCAGGAAGGATTACTCTCTCCAAATCACAATACAAAGATCTGCCAAATCAGAAAGCCTAAAAAAAATTGAAGGTGTTTCCAGAGCGAAAATAATCTAGACTAGAGAAGGGCTACCCCAGCAGTCACAGTCCACTCACCTGAGGAAGCCAGCCCACCTGAACCCTTGCCAGGGGGCTGGGCATTTCCCTCTGAAGTCTCCGTGTCAGACCAGTCCCAGTCATCCTCTGGCCGGGACCCCATCCTGGAAGTAACTCGTGGTTGCTGAAGAGACACACGCCGTACAGTGTCTCTCTCTGAGTCTTCTTCAGAACTGAATGGGGGTGTACTGACATCCCATGAAGGAGGGAAAATAAAGGGTATGCACATCAGACAAAAAAAGTTTAAGTAAGTATCACCGCCTTACAAGCTGATTTGTTTTACCCAGAGCCAGCCTTGCCCCCCGACTTGGGCCTAGGTAACAACCAGGCACCATCTTGAAATACAGCTGTCACACCAGCTTCTCCCTTCAGAAGATGAGGCTTGGAGGGGGCATCTTTGCCTGCCTGAGGACCCAGCTCTTTCTCTGGTAAATGAGGCTTAGGAAAGAGATGGGTAAAGGGAGGAGAGGTGTGATGGTTAATTTATGTGTCAGTTTGGCTAGGCTATGGTACCTAGTAGTTTGGTCAAATACTAATTGTTATTCCATAATTTAATCTCATGGAATGTAACACGATCACTTTCCATAATGCAATCTAATGAAATGACCTTACCTAATGTAATCTAACATAATCTAATCAATCAGTAAGTTGAAAAGTGAATTTCTTTAGTGCATGTTCTCCCTCTATATTTTCACAGAACTTGCTCGCACTCTCTCTCTTTCTCTCTCTCTCTCTTCCTCCCTCCCTCCCCAGCCCTTCTCCTCTGCACTCTTTCCCTTGTCTGCCCCACAGATTTTAGGACACCAGCCTCTAAGAGTTTCAGCCTGCTGCCTGACCTACAGATCTTGGATTTGCTGGCCCCCACAATCATGTGAGTCAATCCCTTGAAGTAAATCTTTCTTTCTCTCTCTCTCTACTTGGCCGAAAGCAAAGGGTTCCCAAGTGTCTTCTTCAGAGTATGCATTGGACTACCCCTGAGGCACCTCCTGTTCACACCTGTCTCTGCCTCAGTCTTCAGAAGCCTGTGAGGAGCCCAGAGCAGGGATGCCTGGGGCTAGGAGCCTCTGCCACAGACCTGGTTAGAGTGCAGAATCTGGGGAATCTGGGACTCACCTCAGCCCAGGTCCTAGGGAAGCAGGGCTGCTGGCAGGCCCATGCACTCTGGGGCATGGAGTGGGGGTGGGCACCTGGGTCAGGTCAGGGCCACGGTTGTCACGACGGCTCTGAAGCATCGGCATGGGCAATTCTGCTGGCTTGGATGGTGATGCCATATGCAGGGTCCTAGTCTCTGGCTGAGCCTTTTTGGTGACCAGTGGGCTCCACTGGCTTTTGACTGGAAACAGATAGGAATGACTCTCAGAGCATACCTGTGCTGGGCTCTCAAACTGGACTGAACGTAGAGAGAGGGTCCAACACTGGAAATAGAATGAGTAAGTCACACTTACACTGTAACAGCCAAAGTAGATGTAGTAGTTGCACCTCTCCCCCACAATCACCCCATCCAGGTGTCCCACCTGGCCTGACTCCAGCCTTAAGCTCTAAGACACAGGTCTGGGACTAAGGACTACAGTTTCATCAGAGATAAGTCAAGTATTCCAGGGTCATATCATCATTATAGGAGATAAACAGGAGTCAGCCAGCCTCAAGAGGAGCCCCTCAGGTCTGCAGCTCACGCCACAGCAGTCCTGAAGGCTGATCTTACCAACGCCATGTCCCCTCACTACCCACACAAGCTGCAACCATTGGAGTGTGGGCAGCCTTGCAGGAAGGCCCTGCTGCCACCAGAGGTCACCACAGGACCATAGTGCCTTCAAGATTCACACACAACCCACTACTCAATGCTGCTGTGATAAAATGGTGCCAAAGACATGCAATTAGATACAGTCTCTCTTATTTTCCAAACTGTATCATCACCCATAGAGGGGTCCAGGATCAACAATCTTTTTATGGAAAAAGAAGAGAGAAAGTGCATTACAGAGAGTCAGAGTAAGTACTGTTCCATAAAACTTGTATGTGTGGACTCAGTCACAATGTAAAATGCACTTTTTACAGTAGTTCAAGGTCAAAAATGTTGGAAATACACGCTCTTATAAAACACATTTACTCAGAACTGGACCTCAGAACATCTTCAGAGAGTATCATTTCCCTACTTTATGGAGGTTTCAAGAGATTAAGGGACTTGCCCAAGATTCCATGGAAGTAAGTGGTGGATGCAAACTCAGAGTCATTCTGCCCTAAATCCACAGCTCTTGCCATTCACTGCCTTTGCTGCATGGCCTTGCTCCAAAACAAGAGAAGAGGCACTGTCTGCACAGAGACGGGAGGACAGCATTAGTACAGCATTTGTGGGTCCCAGAAAGGGAACACGTGGGCACGGAACTGGAAAGCTACAAAGTCTGCCCTAAAAACACAGTGCTCACCTCACGCCTCAGTGGTGCCCCAGAGTAGGCAGAATCACAGGCAGGAAAAGGGTGAGAAGGCAATTGGGAGTCTCTCACTCTCTGCTTTCTGACCATAGGAACAAGGGCTGCAGGGAGTAGAGGATGGCACCCAGAAGCCAGACCCTTTCCTTTCTCTTGGAATCTGGGACTTGGAGGGCATTTCTATTCCGCTTCCCTAAGTCCCTGCTCCCTCCTTCCTCTGAGCTTCCACCACCCCTGTGCCTGGCTCCATCACAGTCTTACTGTCACCTTGTCCTGACTGGTTTCCCAGCAGAGGAGGTAGGCCCTGGCACAGTCAGGCCTCGGCAACCACTGTACTACCTGAAGGAGTGAGTGAATGAGTGAAAATTAGAGTAAATGAGTGAGAAATATGAGCTTACAACTTAAGTATGAAAGACAAGTAAGAAAGCAACTAAGACAAACTCTGGAAATGAAAGAATTCTACCTGAAATTTCTGTGCAAGACTGAGAATTGTCCTATCCTTAGGGATTTTAAGACTAGAAGTTTAAACTAAATAGGACAGAGTTTTCTAGATCATCGGCATAATTTTTACAATATTCTCATACTAACTGTCCTGTTATCTATTTAACATTTTTATATGATACCATTTTTAAACATAAGATACCTGATTTACACTTGTCCATGGGATCACAGGATCAATGAGCTTAGTAGTATGTTTTCTAATTCACATGAAGAAAAATAAAGGTTAAGTTTTTAAAATATTGGTCTATGTACCAATTAAAATCCTCACTCATATCCCCAGATGTGTGGACCACATTCTGGAAAATTCCTTTGAAAGAAGAGCTCAGGTTGGGTCTGCCTAGACCCCAGATGACAAATGAACTGACCTACCCCCAGCCACATATGGTCATGACTGAGGAGACACTGGGAGAGGAGCTGGAGCATTACCCTGTGTAAGAGGGCCCAGCCCACTGAAACCCACCAATCCTCTAGAATTGGGGCTTTCACATATTTTCTAGCTCCATAACCTCCTTGAGGACAGATACTCCAGGTTCCTCATCTATAGACTTTAATCCTCCACAAGATCCACAAGGACCTTCCTTGTGTTTGTTGGCTCCAGGGACAGGAACAAGAGGCAAAGCAGCAGCTGTGAGCAGGCCCAGGAAACCAAGCCTGAGCTCTGAGATCTGTTACAATACAGAACTGGTCCAGCCTCTAACGCTCTCCCACGGCACTGAGAGCAGGGAATAGCTGAGCTCTGAGGAAATTTTCGTTTGATTTATATTTGCCTCCACTTGTAGCCTCAAAGCTCCCAGGTCTTGGGCCTGTCTGCCAGTGCTGACATGCCTGATTTGTAGAACCAGCAAGTTAGAGGTTGCTCCCTGTGAGAGAGAAACTCAGGTGGTGGCCACACCAAGTAAAGCAGCACAGAACTGAAACTACTAAGCGAGGCAGCCTGTCTGAGCAGAGCAAGTCCAGGGTTGACCACAAGTTCTAGCTATGGGTTTCCTTCCAATTCCCTGTGTGACCCTGGATACATGGCTCACCAACACCTTACCTCAGTTACCCCAACAGAGGGCTTTAGGACTCAGTAATCTCTGAGGACCTTACCAGCTTGGACTTTCAGAGCAATGTTTCTAAAGGGAGGCAAGGATCATATCTCCTCTGTGCAAACACGCTTTGGCGAGAAGCAGACCTCCCAGAGCACGCCAATATACCTGGGGACTCACCATCTGGCTGGGCCACCATGGCCCCATTCTTCTGTCTCTCCTTCACTCTTCTGGTAGTTTCCTTGATGAGCTTTTCCCTCAGGCTCAGAAACTCTGAAAACCTTCCAGCCTTCTGATCCCGCTGGGTTCTTAGGAGGGTCTCCACATATCTCAGTGTCTGAACTGAGATTCCTTTTGCATCCTCAAAGAGACAGAAGTCCACCTTTAGAGACAGAGGCTCCCTTTCTTCTCCTTCCCCTAAGCTTCTCACACCTGTGGCTGCTGACCAGGAAGTCACCATACCAGCACCTGACACTTTCTAGGAGGGCACCAGATGAGGATCAGAGCAGGGTGAACAGTGGCTCCACCCACTGTTGGAAGTGTGATAGCACAGCATTTGCAGGCCCATCAGGATGTGCACAGCAGGGTAATGTAATGTGGCTGCATTACTTCATCCACATCACAGCCTAATGGACTTAGATGGGACATGCTTTCTTCCCACCCACAGGATCCCTAAGATGAGAGACCATGGCTTCTTCCTTTTTGTCTCCCCAGGTACCACCATTACGCCAGACACATTGTCCATGGCTAACAATATTTGGAAAACTAAACTGCAAAAGATAAGAGCTAGGTACCCTTCCAAAACCTACTGAAAGTTGCTTGGACTTTTGACATGCACCCATCCAAGGGTCTTAGGAGGTATCTGAATCCAAGATGAGGATTTAATCAAGTTTAGGAAGAAATTATTTAATCAAGTGTGAAGACAGGGCCAAAATTAGGTTAAGCAGGAGCAGAAAAAGTTAGATTAGTGAACATCATTACTAAATCAAATCTGGGTCTATTATTTTTCCTAATCTTATTCTATACAAATAGTGTTTTCTATAACTTAAATAACAAGGTATAGTTTATTTAATAATACATTTCATTGATGCCTCTGGTTAAGCACAAGCATAAGGGAACAATGGCATTCAAGACCTAACTTTCAGTGCCTGCCCCACCCACAGCCACTAATGTAAAGAATAATAGTGAATGTGGCCGTGGTTGTCTCAGAGATGGACACTTTACCCAAAAGGGACTCATCCATAGGCCAGACTGAGCCAGTTAAATTTTCCTTTGTAAGAAAATTTAATTAGACACAAAAGTAAGTAAGTAACCGAAGAGTGGAAAGCATTGAGAGGTCAGGATGCAAGGAAGCAACACTGGCCCTGGAGAGATGAAGAAATGAAGGAAACAGAGATGAAGACATGAAGGAAACCCTGCTGCTGTGAGATGAGGGAGAAGCCACATGGGTTTCTATTCCAGGACACCAAAGGAACCCCCGAATAGAACACATGAGATGAATGAGCTTATGGTGTAAAAGGACAATCAACCATTTATTGGCCTAAGAGCAACTTGTGTCTAAATTGTAGTTATCAGCCCTTAAGATAGAGGCCCTAGAACTTACCCTCTTAATTCCCATGCTTTCAAGTTTCTCTTCCAGGGTGTCCTTCAGGATTGGTTTGAATTGCTTTAGCAAGGTATTGTTTAGCCTCAGAGCTGCCAGCACCTTCTGCTGTCCATCTTGGGAGCTCTCCACATCTGCAGTACAAGACAATCACAGAGGTCAGCCCAGACATCTGATATCTCCATAAACAAAGACCCTCAATATGCACCTGGCCCCCACTGTGCTGTGATCCCAGTCTCACACCTGTGAGCTCTGCTTGAGTATCTGTCCATCACTGGGTCAGAAGCTGGGGCATTTTTGCTCCTGGGTACCACTGCCTCAGTCCACCCCCTACTTCCCACCCCCCAACTTCAGAATTCTCTTCCTCTGCTAGTCTAGACTGCCAAGATCTGGGCTTAGTCAAGCTGTGGGTTAACTCAGGACCTTCAGGCTTTTTTCTTGAGCACTTACAGCAGCTAATTCCCAGGGCTACATTCTGATTCCAGAGTATAAGCCCTGCCTGCCACCAACTCCAACGCAACTATAGCCCTCACCCCATCCTTGTTCCAGGTTCTGTTCTGGTCCTGGGGATAAAATGGTGGGCCAGAAGGACAGGTTCCCACTTCCTTCAAGTTTACTGTTTAGAGCAGTAGCTCCCCCCAACATTAGCTTACATCAAATCACCTGGACATAAATTTAAAATGCACAATTCCTGGCCCTACCCAGAGAATCTAATATTGTAGGTCTGGAGAAAGGCTCTGGAACATGCATTTTAACATACCCAGAGAGTTCTACTACAGGTGAGCCACAGACAACACTTCCAGAAATGCTAAGCCAGAGGGCAAAGAAATAAGCAATTACAATAAAATGTGGGTAACTGCTACACAAGGGCAGAGAAGGCTCCCAGAAGCACTCCTCAGGTCCAACGTGCGAGGCCTCACTGGTTAGACCCGGACTGAGCCCTTTCATTCACAAAGAAGAAAACCATCACTCTTCTCTCAACAAGTTCATTGTCTAGGCTAGTGAATCCCAACCCTGGCTGCATACTGCAATCACCTGGGCCCCATCCCAGGCCAATCATATTACATCAGAATCTCTGAATGTGGACGCTAAGCTAATAATAATAATAAT